GCATGCAGGTCTTCATTTTAGGATATGGGAACATTGGCATTGAATTGGCAAAGCGCTTGAGACCGTTTGGTGTGAAAATTATTGCCTCCAAACGGAGTTGGGCCACACAGTCACAAGATTCTTGCCAATCAAATGGTATGTGAGGAGGCATAAGCTAGAACACTGAATTGTGATACTGAAGCATACAGCCATATAAATCACGGTTATTTGTTTTGAATTTTCAGTTCAAAATTGTTACACTGAGAATTTGGTTGATGAGAAGTGTGTCCATGAAGATATCCACAAGTTTGCAAGTATTGCAGACATCGTTGTTTGCTGCGTAAATTTAAACAGTGAAACAGTAAGATCATTGGTCATTTTTATACCATGTTTTCTGCAGTGGATGATGGTTGTTCCTGTTGCACTTGCACCTTCTCAAGCACTGTGTCAACTTGTCCAAATATGTTTTTCATTATGTTCACTTGAGATCCAAATTGTGATCATTTGATATGGGGTAAAGACTGCTCTGGTACAAATTTATGTGGTTGCCAGAGAGATTGTGAAGGGAGAGACAGAATAGAAACCAAAAGGAAAAGACAAAATGTTGATAAGAGCAAAAATTATAGTACAAAGGTTGAGAAGTGAAGATAGAGAAAAAAGAGAGACAGTGGAGGGTTAACTCAGTTCTTTATTGTCAAATTAATATGCTAAAGTCCCCAAAGTAGATGAATAACCTATAAACTCTAACAAAAAAAAACCCAATTTATATGCCCAAACAGAACTTTTCTTCTTGCATGTGTCAAAGATTATCTCATTGCTGAATGTTGACCTCATGTTACATTAAAGTAAGAGCATTTGCAAGCTTGCGGCTTCAACCAATACCCCTTCTATTTTAGAAGAAGCGTGCAAAGACTCTTAATTTCAGCTGCATTTAACTTGATTAAGAATGAAATAATGAGCACTTGAGAAAGGTTCGATGATAGGATCATTAAATGCCTGACCCAGATGGGATCATAAATGGTTTGACGTCTTCCTTGGTCATTTTTCCTTTCCACAAAACGGTTCCTCATCGTGGTCCATTCATAAGTTTCCAGTTAAAATTTTTTTAATGTCATTCGTTTCTTCCACTTGTTTTGTCTCTCTCTAAATCTCATATTTTCATTTTCTTCATTCTCTTCCTCAATCTCTGTTCTCTCTTATTTTTTCTATTCTCCATCTGTTGCATCTTCTGTTTTGTATTCTCTTGCTCAGATGTTGTTGATGTTGCTATCTGCAATCTGTGTCTGCTGCTTGTTGATGATGCCTTTAAACATAACCTCTGTACTTTTTTTCCTTTTTCTATTAGATTTCCAAAATCAAATTGCATTGTATGTGAGATGGAAGTCAATATGAATTCAATTCCACTGCAGAAGATTCAGTGATACTTGGTTGTCTGACTCCTACTTTTGCGTACCTTGTGTTTCAGGTTGGCATTGTAAACAAGTCGTTCATATCTTCGATGAGAAAGGTTTGGTTTCAATCCAGTGTAGTTTGTTTGATAATTGTACTTCATTTGCAATGACAGAATCATATTAGCAAATATATGATGTGTGAGTTTGTAAACATGAGCTTACAGCCATATATGTGTGCAATTATCCCAAAATCTTAACGGCTTAAGCTCTTGCGAATGGTGGTTAAACCAACAAACTTATTGATTGTATCAGAGTAGGAGATTGAGTTCGGGTCCCTGCAACTGGAATATTGAAGCATAAGTTGAACTTCATATTTTAGCCTTTAGACTTAGTGGTACAAATAGAATATGATAGTGTAACGCCAAAAGGGTCTAGTTGGAACCTCCTAAGATAATTGAATTTGACATGTCGGTCTGTAAAGGCAAACCAACAACCTTTATCATTTCATTAGAGCAGTCAAAACATCCACATTTTAAGGTCAGTTCTCCACGTGCACTCAATATTATTACCCAATATAATTTATGTTTGGCTTATTCAGCCCTACATAAGGGAATGTGTTGAGAATATTAAATTCAAAGTTTTGTTCAAATGGAAGGACTGGCTACATCCTTACTCTTGAGTTCTTGAACATCTCATTAGTTGAGCTTGGAAGGCAGCTCCTTTTAAGCATTAGGTGTTTGTGGTTTGAGAGAAATTGGAAGACCTTTGTTGGGAGGGACAGTTTCGGTCTTAATTTCCTGTTATCGATTCTTGCTGTTGATCCTCATGTTTCTTTTTTCATTCTAGGGTGCCCTTCTGGTAAATATTGCCCGAGGGGGTCTCCTGGACTATGAAGCTGTTTCATATAACCTAGAGTCTGGCCACTTAGGTGGTTTAGGGATTGATGTTGCTTGGACGGAGCCATTTGATCCTGATGATCCAATTTTGAAGTTCAACAATGTTATCATCACACCTCATGTGGCAGGAGTTACAGAGTATTCTTACAGATCCATGGCTAAGGTAAGCAACCATCGACAAAACAGAATCAGCTCGCTCATTTTTAGTTCCACTACACTACTGTATGTCCAACACCGCCATCATGTAGTGATCATCTTGTCTGAATCAACTACACTAGGCTACACCTTGCTATCAATACCTCCGGTGTCACATATGTCAATACCTCCGTTAGATGAGACAAGACGTGTATATAGGGATTGGTGATAGATATACACATCTTCTCTTTGATTATTTGGCTACTATTTTTGGTGCAGTCTTCATGCACAACCAAGTGACAGGATAATTCTTTTCCTCTATTGTCATTTGGGCTCGTTTGGTACGCATGATTGGATTGGAATGGAGAACACTTGAATTTCAAGGTATACTGAAGGTGGAAGTTGGATGGTTTTTCATTTGGAGGGGATTAGAAGTGGATTAGCTATGAAGTAAATTCATCCCATCTAATCCTACCATTTTAAGGAGGATTGGACTGGATAAGTTTTCTTCGTAAGTAATCCATCTTCTATCCTCGAAGCGGTCATGATTTTATCATTTCTCCCGTCAACATACCTTTAATTTAGTAGGTTATCCATTCCAATCCAATCAAGTGCACCAAATGAGCCCGTTGTGTCTTGGTCGATGCTTCCTAGGTTATAGTATGATCAGGATCTTTGTGAGCTTAGTTTCCAACCGTCAAGATTCTAGCTTCCTTTGAATCCAATGCTTTTGATACATATGTCGTCTCATCGGAGCCTGACTATCTTTTGTGGTGGCTCAACAAATGCAGGTAGTTGGCGATGCCGCCATTCAACTTCATGAAGGGAAGCCTTTGACAGGAATTGAGTTTGTCAACTGAATCAGTATGGTGAAAATGGTTGATTTTTTATTGCTAAGCTTTTGATTTGGACATCCATATAAGGAGATATTTTCCAGTGCCCGGAACAGGGAACGCTACACTACGTGTTATTGTACAATTAAAGGGAGAATAAGTTGGAGGGAATTTGTCCCTTAAAATGATCGCTTATCGATTTTCTACCTTCACAGTTTACTTGATATTTTCCATAATTTAATAAAATACGTTTCGTATTTTTTTCATTACTCGTGGACGACTAACTCCCCACTGTGAAGTGAAATTGTATCGTATGTTAGTTAGAGAGGTTGGGGGACTACTACAATCTATAGATTCCCCATCTATATTTTCTTCCACTTTCCTCCCCTTCCTTCTATACTCCATGGATGTTGTTGCCCTTCATCTTTTCCCTTGTCAGTCTGCATCCTGTCCCCCATCTCCGTTGTCACCGTGGCCGCTACTACCACCACCACCCACCATTATCACCGCCGTCGCCAAGACCATTACTAGCACAGTACCTAACTATTATCTACCATTTATATATTAATGACTCTACACACATCAAAATTCTGTATTTAAATTTGATTCTTCTTTTAGGTTACCCAAGCAAGAAAACTCGCAAATTTTAAAAATTAAGAATTTTATTTTCCATCCAATTTGGAGATCCTTAATAATCTAAATCTCCGTATCCAAACACAGTGTAATAGTATTGAAATCATCCATGATATTACATTCTATAAAATCCGAACAGCTCCTCCCTTAACCTTATTGATTTTTTTAGGAGCCATTGCAGAGTTCCATCGAATTTTAAACATAAAAGGCCAAATGTTTAAATTTATTTGAAAACAATAAGCAGTCTCAGCACAGCAGATACAAGGACATACTACACAGACAAACTCCCGAAAGAATTCTGCAGCAAAGAAATAACAAGTATCTCTCACCTTTCGGTTTTCCTCTATCTTTTTTCCTGCCATTTTGTTCAGCTTTTTTTTTTTTTTTTTTTTTTTGAGCTCCTCAGCAAGTCCAAGAAGACGATCTCTTAATAACGGGCTTCATTTGCTTGTCCTCTTGGAGCGAAATCATCCCCAAGTGTGACGGATCCTCTAGCATCATCTTTGCAACCAGATATCCAGCTATCGACCATGTCTGGTACTTCCTTGCTTGTTTACCAATATATCTTCCGAGTTTCCCGTCATAATATTCTGGCCAAGCATCTTTTAGCAGACGACTCTCAGCAAGCTCAATTGCCCGTCTTGCAATTTGCGGTCTTCCCGTTCTAATGCATGCAGCAGTTAGCATCCACAGAAGCACTGCACGCATGATAGCGGGAAAAAATCCAACAAAGAAACAGAGAGAGGTTGAGAAACATCGTGCACAATTGTTTGGTGTAGTAATATTTACAGAATCTTTCCAAACAACGGTCACTGAATCAAAACACAATAATTAGATAATGCCATTAGGTTAACCTAATGTTTAAATGAATGCTAGGCAAGGGAATCGAATATCTCAGCACGAAGCCTGCTTGGTTCCTTTACAAAATTGAAAAAATAGATAACTGACTGAAATATACAAATACAACCACTGTTTTTCACAATAATTTTCCGAAAAAACCAACTTGAAAAAACAGATAACTGACTCAAAACGCTTTTGCCCTCTTTGACCTTTTGTCACGTGCAAAAAGACTGAATGACCCTGAAAACAAATTCAAGTACCTTTTCCTCCCCTTCCCTGCGGCCCCATCCTCCTCCTCCTCTGTCAGTATCTCAGTCCTCATCATCGAGTGGGTGGGCGCGGTGAGTGAGTGAGTCAGTAGTTCTCTCGTCTCGGCCACGTCTCGTCTCGTCTCGTCTCGTCCGGGGCTTGAATTTCAACCTCAATTGGAATTTAAATGCGGTCGTCGAGATTGAGAGTGTTCGCGAAGGCCATTTGTGATTCCGCTCGTCATCGTCATCCACATTGCCATCACAGGATTCTACATCCAACTCACGCTCACACCCTCAGCGGTAAGTTTTGAACTTTTTACTTACTTTCTTTTAACCCCGAATTTCATTGCTTCGTATAACTGCAACCGAATGTGTTGTTGCAGTTGCAGAGATGCATAGCTTGTCGAAAATGGAAGTAGAAAATGGGGAGGTGAAGAACAAGGAGAAGGTTTCCCGTCTTCTTTTCTGCGGATCACATTTTCCTGCTGCTGAAACTTACACAAGGGAATATTTGAAAGACTACCCCTTTATCCAGGTCATTTTCCTCCTGCATTTTGTCTTCCGCTTCCACCTCCGTCGATCGATTTTATATATCTGACAGTGGCTGGCTCATTGTTTCTGTTGCTCATCTTGTATTACACTATAACTTTAGTCAATGTCGCATATTAATCTCATCAGATTTGAAGAAGCAGTCACTTGTTAAGAAAGAATCATCACAATGTTTTGTACCGGCGAAACCTGATTTGTGATTTTGTTGATCTGTTGGGTTCGATTCAGTGTGTCATGGTGGATGTAGCCAAAGAAGTATATATCTTGCTGTTTTTGTGTTCTTGTTTTCTATGTGAATTGTGTTGTTTGCGCTCTGAATTATTTTTGAGTTATTGAACCGTTTGACTGTCAATTGTCAGAGCTATGAACAACAGGCTTACATAAAAGGAATATAACAACTTGATCATGTGTGCATATAAATAAATATGCTTGAGTAAACTAGTACGTCTATCTATAATCATGCCAGTCCCCAAAATTACGTCTAAAACGTTAATTTATGCTTGAGTAAACTTCTGTACATATATAATATAAATATTATAGATACATGTGAAGTTTTTCTCAAGCAAATTGTAACTAATAATCTATCTATGTATCCATATAACAATCTCCCGTGTTTATTCTGCATCTGTGTATCCATCTATCAATCTCCTGTGATTATTCTGCATATGTTCCACTATCTATCTTAGGGCTCCTTCCTGTAAATGTTCCATCATCGATTTCCAGTGCTCCTTCAGTATTTCAATTTTCACTATTGTAGGTAGATGATGTTCCCCATAAAGATGTGCCTGGTGTTATCCAGAATTACAATATGTGTATCGTGAAGCTGATGAAGTTAGATTCAGATCTTCTCTCCCGTGCAGAAAAGATGAAGCTTGTACTGCAGTATGGTGTCGGCCTGGAAGGTCATTTTCATGTGGTTCAAATTGTTATAAAAAAGAGCGTTTGTCTTAGGTGTCTATATTTACAATTTAAATTTATTTGCTTTAGGCGTTGACATTGATTCTGCAACTAAGTTTGGAATCAAAGTTGCTAGGATTCCGAGCCATGTAACTGGAAATGCAGCCTCATGTGCCGAAATGGCCATTTATCTGATGTTGGGCCTCCTACGAAAGCAAGTAAGTTAGGCTTAAACTTATTTTTAGTAAAGTTTTTTATTTAAATTTTTATTACCCTTATGATTTTTCAATTTTTTTTTCTAGGCATCATAGTGTTGATTCTGTTGAATGCTTTCATCGTGTCATATCCTTTCAATTTGATCATCCAAGGGGCCTCACTAATTTTTTCCTTTGCATTTGGTCATTGCTTCTTTTTTTTTTTTTTTACACATTTGTGAAATTCTGTGTTTGTATTCATCTCTAAGGGAGGGTTTAAATAGTTGCAAGAGTTGCCAAGCAGTAGCTAAACTTAAGGAATTTACATAAAGGAATTAATCCTACAGCTAGCAATACAAAATAATGTAGACATAGTTCTATGAATTGATGATACAATTAACCCACCAGTACTAAACATTAAAGTACAGTCCAAAACTATTAACCATGCATGAGAAAATTTGAGTGCCGCCTTCCTATTTGCATGCACATCCTGAAATTCCAATGATATTCATACCTACAATGATATCCCAAATCTAACTGTGTATCCCATAATCCCTCCAATTCACTCCCTAAAGATCGGCCAAAACCATCTTTTTTCTTTCCCTCCACTCCACATTAGCTAGACAATAGCCATCACACAGCAAGTCCACATTATTTTGACCTTTTTCTTCTCCACAAGCAAATTTATTTAAAATGAATGAAGCTTTGTTAGGAAAATGGTTTTTGAGATTAACCTTGGAGCACAATTCTTTCCAGATTGAGAGTATGTTTTCAGTGCAATATAATCAGTAGAATTCTCGGATTTCTTAGAAAGGTTCGTTTTATTATCCTTTGAAATATTGTCCTGTTTCTTGTTATTATTCTCAATTATCTATCTTTGAAGGGATGTTTGGTATGGTGATCAGTCCTTCTAATAATAACGCAGTTGTGTTGTCTTGCTTTCTTTGGTTCTTCTCGGACTATTTCTTGAAAATTAACATTTTGGATGGCTTTAAATATATAAATAATTTTTTTGAAATTCATCTTTGCACACTATCTTTTGGCATCTTCATGTCATGAAATCTATTATGTTGGGACGGAATTTTATAAATATTCTCTTCTGTTCACATTCATCTTGATTGGTAATTTGGATGCTAGTGCTAGTCATGTATATTTTGCAATATTTCTGGCTTTTCTTGCAATTTATTTCTTATTTTATTTAATAAAACATTTATTGTTCCATATCAAAAGTATACTTAGTGGCTCTCTTGAATTTAGTTTTTTTATTCTATTTTATTTTTTATTCTTGTCTGCTCATTTTATCTGTAATTTTTCTACCATTGTAGAATGAGATGCAAATTTCTATAAAGCTGAGGAAGGTTGGGGATCCAGTTGGTGAAACACTGCTTGGAAAAACAGTGAATCTCTCTCTCTCTCTCTCTCTCTCTCTCTCTCTCTCTCCCCTGTGTTCTTTTTATGTTCTTTTAGCGGTTTTCAGATAGAAACTTTCTAGAATGCAGATTGCAGTTCTCGTGTTTTTCTTTTTTACTCTTATTATTTTTCTTATGAGTATGCTCTTCTGCTAGAAAGTTTCCACACTTTACAGTTGTGAAGATCTGGAGGTTATGTTTAGCGCTTTGCAACTTGAAGTGTTGATTTACTCATGTTCAAGTCAGTTTTTAAACTTGAGTTTCTTTGCTAATGCATGCAGATTTTCATTTTAGGATATGGGAACATTGGAATTGAATTGGCAAAGCGCTTGAGACCGTTTGGTGTGAAAATTATTGCCTCCAAACGGAGTTGGGCCACACAGTCACAAGATTCTTGCCAATCAAATGGTATGTGAGGATGCGTAAGCTAGAACACTGAATTGTGATACTGAAGCATACAGCCATATAAGTCACGGTTATATGTTTTGAATTTTCAGTTCAAAATTGTTCCACTGAGAATTTGGTTGATGAGAAGTGTGTCCATGAAGATATCCACAAGTTTGCAAGTATTGCAGACATCGTTGTTTGCTGCATAAATTTAAACAGTGAAACAGTAAGATCATTGGTCATTTTTATACCATGTTTTCTGCAGTGGATGATGATTGTTCCTGTTGCACTTGCACCTTCTCAAGCACTTTGTCAACATGTCCAAATATGTTTTTCATTACGTTCACTTGAGATCCAAATTGTGATCATTTGATATGGGGTAAAGACTGCTCTGGTACAAATTTATGTGGTTGCGGGAGAGATTGTGAAGGAAGAGACAGAATAGAAACCAAAAGGAAAAGACAAAATGCTGATAAGAGCAAAAATTATAGTACAAAGGTTGAGAAGTGAAGATAGAGAAAAAAGAGAGACAGTGGAGGGATAACTCAGTTTTTTATTGTCAAATTAATATGCTAAAGTCCCCAAAGTAGATGAATAACCTGTAAACTCTTAACAAAAAAAAAACCCAATTTATATGCCCAAACAGAACTTTTCTTCTTGCATGTGTCAAAGATTATCTCATTGCTGAATGTTGACCTCATGTTACATTAAAGTAAGAGCATTTGCAAGCTTGCAGCTTCAACCAATACCCCTTCTTTTAGAAGAAGTGTATGCAAAGACTGTTAATTTCAGCTGCATTTAACTTGATAAAGAATGAAATAATTAGTACTTGAGAAAGTTTCGATGATAGGATCATTAAATGCCTGACCCAGATGGGATCATAAATGGTTTGACGTCTTCCTTGGTCATTTTTCCTTTCCACAAAATGGTTCCTCATCGTGGTCCATTCATAAGTTTCCAGTTAAAATTTTTTTAATGTCATTGGTTTCTTCCACTTGTTTTGTCTCTCTCTAAACCTCATATTTTCATTTTCTTCATTCTCTTCCTCAATCTCTGTTCTCTTATTTTTTCTATTCTCCATCTGTTGCATCTTCTGTTTTGTATTCTCTCGCTCAGATGTTGCTATATGCAATCTGTGTCTGCTGCTTGTTGATTATGCCCTTAAACATAACCTCTATACTTTTTTCCTTTTTCTATTATAATTTTTAGTTGTGTATATGGCAAGAGTTTGTGAAATTAGATTTCCAAAATCGAATTGCATTGTATGTCAGATGGAAGTCAATATGAATTCAATTCCACTTCAGAAGATTCAGTGATGCTCGGTTGTCTGACTCCTACTTTTGTGTACCTTGTGTTTCAGGTTGGCATTGTAAACAAGTCGTTCATATCTTCGATGAGAAAGGTTTGGTTTCAATCCAGTGTAGTTTGTTTGATAATCGTACTTTGTTTGCAATGACAGAATCATATTAGCAAATATATGATGTGTGAGTTTGTAAACCCGAGCTTACAGCCATATATGCGTGCAATTATCGCAAAATCTTAACGGCTTAAGCTCTTGCAAATGGTGGTTAAACCAACAAACTTATTGATTGTATCAGAGTAGGAGATTGAGTTCGGGTCCCTGCAACTGGAATATTTAAGCATAAGTTGAACTTCATATATTAGGCTTTAGACTTAGTGGTACAAATAGAATATGATAGCGTAACGCCAAAAGGGTCTAGTTGGAACCTCCTAAGATAAGTTGAATTTGACATGTCGGGCTGTAAAGGCAAACCAACAACCTTTATCATTTCATTAGAGCAGTCAAAACATCCACATTTTAAGGTTAGTTCTCCACGTGCGCTCAATATTATTACCCAATATAATTTATGTTTGGCTTATTCAGCCCTACATAAGGGAATGTGTTGAGAATATTAAATTCAAAATATTGTTCAAATGGAAGGACTGGCTTCACCCTTAGTCTTGAGTTCTTGAACATCTCATTAGTTGAGCTTGGAAGGCAGCTCCTTTTAAGCATGAGGTGTTTGGGGTTTGAGAGAAATTGGAAGACCTTTGTTGGTAGGGACAGTTTCGGTCTTAATTTCCTGTTATGGATTCTTGCTGTTGATCCTCATGTTTCCATTTTCATTCTAGGGTGCCCTTCTGGTAAATATTGCCCGAGGGGGTCTCCTGGACTATGAAGCTGTTTCATATAACCTAGAGTCTGGCCACTTAGGTGGTTTAGGGATTGATGTTGCTTGGACGGAGCCATTTGATCCTGATGATCCAATTTTGAAGTTCAACAATGTTATCATCACACCTCATGTGGCAGGAGTTACAGAGTATTCTTACAGATCCATGGCTAAGGTAAGCAACCATTGACAAAACAGAATCAGCTCGCTCATTTTTAGTTCCACTACACTACTGTATGTGCAACACCGCCATCATCTAGTGATCGTGTTGTCTGAATCAACTACACTAGGCTACACCTTGCTATCAATACCTCCGGTGTCACATTGTCAATACCTCCGTTAGATGAGACAAGACGTGTATATAGGGATTGTGATAGATATACACATCTTCTCTTTGATTATTTGGCTACTATTTTTGGTGTGGTCTTCATGCACAACCAAGTGACAGGATAATTCTTTTCCTCTATTTGTCATTTGGGCTCGTTTGGTACGCATGATTGGATTGGAATGGAGAACACTCGAATTTGAAGGTATACTGATGGTGGAAGTGAATGGTTTTTCATCCCGAGGGGATTAGAAATGGATTAGCTATGAAGTAAATTCATCCCATCTAATCCTACCATTTTAAGGAGGAATGGAATGGATAAGTTTTCTTCTTAAGTAATCCATCTTCTATCCTCGAAGCGGTCATGATTTTTATCATTTCTCCCGTCAACATGCCTTTAATTTAGTAGGTTATCCATTCCAATCCAATCAGGTGCACCAAATGAGCCCATTGTGTCTTGGTCGATGCTTCTTAGGTTATAGTATGATCAGGATCTTTGTGAGCTTAGTTTCCAACCGTCGAAGATTCTAGCTTCCTTTGAATCCAATGCTTATGATACATATGTCGTCTCATCGGAGCTGACTATCTTTTGTGGTGGCTCAACAAATGCAGGTAGTTGGCGATGCCGCCATTCAACTTCATGAAGGGAAGCCTTTGACAGGAATTGAGTTTGTCAACTGAATCAGTTTAGTGAAAATGGTTGATTTTTTATTGCCAAGCTTTTGATTTGGACATCCATTTAAGGAGAGCTTTTCCAGTGCCCGGAACAGGAAACGCTACACTACGTGTTATTGTACAGTTAGAGGGAGAATAAGTTGGAGGGAATTTGTCCCTTAAAACGATCGCTTATCGATTTTCTACCTTCACAGTTTACTTGATATTTTCCGTAATTTAATAAAATACATTTCATATTTTTTTCATTAATCGTGAAGGACTAACTCCTCACTGAAGTGAAATTGTATCGTATGTTAGTCAGAGAGGTTGGAGGACTACTACGATCTATAGATTCCCAATCTATATTTTCTTCCACCTTCCTCTGCTTCCTTCTATACTCCATGGATGTCGTTGCCCTTCATCTCTTCCTTTGTCAGTCTGCATCATGTCCCCTTTCTCCGTTGTCACCATCGCCGCTATTACCATCGCCACTCACCATCATCACCGCTGTTGTCGGGACCATTACTAGCACAGTTCCTAACTATTATCTACCATTTATATATTAATAACTCCACACATTGAATTCCGTATTTAAATTTGATTCTTCTTTTAGATTAGCCAAACAAAAAAACTTGCAAATTTTAAAAATTAAAAATTTTGTCAAATCAATTTCCATCCAATTTGAAGTTCCTTAATAATCTAAATCTCTGCATCCAAACACAATGTAATAGTATTGAAATCGTCCATGAAATTATATTCAATTGAATCCGAACAGTTCCTCTCTTGAGCTTATTAATTTTTTTTAGGAGCCATTGCAGAGTTCCATCGAATTTTAAACATAAAAGCCAAATGTTCAAATTTATTCGAAAACAATAAGCAGTCTCAGCACAGCAGATACAAGGACATACTACAAAGACAAACGCCCGAAATAATAGTGCACCAAAGAAATAACAAGTATCTCTCACCTTCTGGTTCTCCTCTATCTTTTTTCCTGCCATTTTGTTCAGCCTTTTTTTTTTTTTTTTTTTTGAGCTCCTCAGCATGTCCAAGAAGACGATCTCTTAATAACGGGCTTCATTTGCTTGTCCTCTTCGAGCGAAATCATCCCCAAGTGTGACGGATCCTCTAGCATCATCTTTGCAACCAGATATCCTGCTATCGACCATGTCTGGTACTTCCTTGCTTGTTTACCAATATATCTTCCGAGTTTCCCGTCATAATATTCTGGCCAAGCATCTTTTAGCAGACGACTCTCAGCAAGCTCAATTGCCCGTCTTGCAATTTGCGGTCTTCCCGTTTTAATGCATGCAGCAGTTAGCATCCATAGAAGCACTGCACGCATGATAGCGGAAAAAAATCCAACAAAGAAACAAAGAGAGGTTGAGAAACATCGTACACAATTGTTTGGTGTAATAATATTATACAGAATCTTTCCAAACAATGGTCGCTGAATCAAAACACAACAATTAGATAATCCCGTTAGGTTAACCTAATGTTTAAATGAATGCTAGGCAAGGGAATCGAATATCTCAGGCACAAAGCCAGCTTGGTTCATTTACAAAATTGAAAAAATAGAAGTAAAATATACAAATACAACCACTGTTTTCACAGTAATTTTCCGAAAAAACAAACTTGAAAAAAAACAGAAATATCAAACTTACTTTCTCAGGATGAATATTCAGTTCAGAAAGTAAAGATTTGTAACGAAACAAAAGAAGGCTGCCATTTTATACTACTTGAACACTGTATTTAAAATGTGCTTTTCAAAGATCATCCACGCAGAGAACTCTTCCATTACGTAAAACATCCATAGTGTTTCAGATGAATGAATGAATGAATGAATGAATGCAGGAAACCTTCCATTCCTCAACATTGGAGTACGTATAGTACTTCAGATGAATAAATCAAAATGCAGCATCCCAATATCCTTGAAGAAAAAAGATGATAAGATGTACCCATGAAATAAGATGAAGGCACCCACCAGGGAAGAACACTTTTGGTCAAGTACAAAAATCAAGTGCATCAAGTTGAAGGGAAGGGAAATTTGACGGGGGTATTAGTAAAGAAAGGATGATTAGAAATTGTGTTAAATCAATTATATGGTATCACAGTAGGACTGACTGACAGAACATTTACCATCACAACTATTTTTGAATTTTAACGGCGGCAATAACATAGAAACTTCAAGTAGAGGGACAAACCTGGCCAAGATCCTCCATTATGGTAACTCCATCTGGTATTCTTGGGATCACAACCAGTTACGATTCGCCACTCATGACTTTCTATTGCTGGATAACATATTTTTAATGGCATTTCTCCAACCAACTCTTCCCAACGAGATTCAATGAGATCCATTATAGCCACTGATTGCTCTGGGGTTGCAAGAGAAGCTAGAATTGCAACACAGTTACCCAAAGCAAACCATCGAAAATCCATCCTTGCAGGACTCACATTGCCAATGAAGTAGCCACCACGGCATGGCATAAAATCAAATACCCAATCTGGGATGGAATCAGGAATGACATTGAACTTATTTACGGCCGTGTGTGAGTACTCTTCAGTCTTGTAACGGTATATGTCATTTAATTGTTGGAAATCAAGCCAGAAGTAACCTCGCATGTGGTAACTTAAGGCATGCAAACGCTTAACAATTCGTTCTATGAATTCTTTTCCTTCTCCATCAGGTTTCAGCATTGACAAGGCACATCTCAATGCCATAAAGAACAGAGCTTGGATTTCAATAGGATAACCATAAATTCCCTGGATAACCATATAACGTGTAAAATAAGATACGATATTTTTCTGAAGTACCATAATATTGAAATAAAGCAATCAGGCAGACAAGAAAACTTGAAGTAAGCTACAAACCTTCATAAACGTGAAGACAAAAGGACAAGAATTATCCTTTTTCATTTTTCCTCTTACTAAAAATACATAAATAAATAAAATCACTCATGAGCTTCTCAACCTTCATCTATTGGGACTACAAATCATATTCACTTTTATTATGGGTGGAATTTAGTGGGCTACCCATCCATACATGTCAGTGAATAAGGCATTAGACACTAACAATAGAACCACAAGAACATGACTTTTGACGCTTTAAATATTTACAAATTTCTTTCTATGCTTGCGAACTGATTAGAGCCACTTTTATTCAATGTCGATGCAGCCATCATTGTTGTCTTCAAATAAAGAAGGCAAGAATATACTGCTAATAAATACGATCCTAGGGACCCATAAACAGATGGATTGCTATACGAGAAGTCTATTGGTGATATATTACTCCAGGCACAATAAATTAGTCGCTTAGTATTTATCATCTTGTGAATCAATTCCTGTAAACGCCAACTATGCCTTATTAATTCTCAGAATTGTAAAATTGAATGTAAGAACTAAAGGTAATGTGGTAACTACATAATACTAAATTTCCTTTGCACTCCAACCACATTTAAACAGTGCATCATCTACTTGAAATTAAACCTAGCAAAGATACCACAGTTGTAATTTGTTTTATAATGATTAGGGATTGTAAACCTGTAGTTTTATAATGGTTAGGGACAGAAAGACCGAAGCTTAATGACCTTATGACGGCCTTAAAGGACTTCTCAAGCTACTTCTCATGTCCATTGGCAATTAAGTTTCTTTTCGAAAGAAGAGATTCCTGTGAAAATGAAGTGAAACTTACCATTCTACGATCAATCATGGAGCATCCATCAGCACAAAGCAATGTTGGGAATGTGTCAAAACCTTCTGAGAGACATAGAGTCAATATAAGCCTCATTCCTTTTTGACAATCTTCTGTTTCTGCGAGAGATAAATCCCCAGTTGACTTTGTATATGCACGGAGCAGTATAATCCACCAAAAACCAGAGTCAACGGGAGCAACTCGTCCAATTGCACTCTCCCCGAAATCTGCAATGATTGTATCTGACTTTCGGATAGGGTCATGAAGAACTTTGAAGCTTGCTGGCATTGCACCTTCCCCGAGCTTGAACCTGTCTATTCTTTTTTCCCATCCTTGAAGCTGCAGGGTCTTCAGGAGGAAGTTTTTAACTATCTCCGGCTCACCATTCATTAGGAAAGCCAGAGCACTTGGTACAAAATCTCGGACAAAAACCTAAACACAATAACAATCATGTCAAGATTTAATGCTTTCTTAACTGAACACTTCAAACTTATATGTTTTAGAGCTTTGTTTGCCTTCCCCCAAGGCTATAATTCATTCTTTTTAATCCAATCTTATTGCCAAAATCAAAGAGAACAAGCGACATTTGCAGAATCAGTAAGTTTCTCGGCGTCATCACCTCACGAGTCTAATTAGATATTTCTACCGACAGGAAATATTACAAATGTCTATCAATCTAGAGGGCGATCCAAATTTTCCCAAGTTGATTTGTTTGCCAAAATTGTTAATCCAAAAACAGAGAGATTATTGCATAATCTCACACATAAATTGAAATTGAAAACAAAAGGCAAGCAAGGGTCAAAAATTGTGGAAAGTTGACCTGATCATAATTCAAAACTTCCTCAGAAGCATGATCATATGCGGCGATGGTGCCCACAGGCTGGTTGCGAAAGAAGACCAAAGAGCGGCGGATAGCTTCCCATGCCTCGGCAACCATTGGGTGGGGCTCGAACGAGTTGCGAGTAGAGGAAGCAGGAGTGTCAAAACCAGACCTTCCACCGGGGGAGTACGCGCTGTCCATGTTGTCCAAGCCGACTCTTGTGAGTCCAATGGAGAGCTCGCTTAGTGACCTCTCGTCGAAGGACCTCTGCCTCTCAATGTTGAGCCTCGGCTTGTCGAGAAGGCGCGAGAGGTCATAGTCATCCATGTCCGAAATGGAGCAATGCGAGCTCACATTTCGTAGCCCAAAGTTGGTCCCTTCCATTTCCTTTGTCTGTTTCTTCTTCTACTTCTTCTTCTTCTTCTTCTTGTTTCTTCCTCAACAATCGACTGAATCAAATCAAATCAAATCAAATGACTTACTTCACTCTCAGGTCTCAACAGATCTGAAACCTCTTTGTGTTTGTGTTGTGATCGACTCCTACCAAACCAATTTATATCTTATTAGGAAAACAACAATCAAACTTATCTCACCAAGTGGGTTGGCTTTATGAATCCTAGAACGCCCATGCGCTCGGTTTTGAGGTCAAGTCTTCCGTTAGTTCTATCTTAATAGAAAAAGCATACAATTTTCATGAAATCACAATAAATCTTTCAGAAAAAACAAAAACACAGAGAAAGAAAGCAGCTCCAGTGAGTACTAATATCTAAAATATTATTAGAATAATTAATCATTTTTTATAAAATGGATACAAAAAATATGCAACAAAACAAAAAATTCCAGATTATACAAACAGTCTCTAACAGATTACATCATCACAGCAGAGAAAATTAAACAAATATAAGCTTCTAACAAAATAATAATAATAATAATAATAAATAACGGTAGATCAAGATCAAGCATCTAGCATTAACAAATCGACGAATTCGTATAAGAAAAACCAGATCTGAACCTTCTCAGCAAAATAATGCATATTAAGGAGAGACACAGAGAGAGGGAGCTTATACCTCAGAGAGAGAGAGAGAGAAATGTCAAAGTTGGCGGCGGTGGAGGAGTCTCCGTCAGTGTGCTCGGGCGTTCGCCGAGATTTCGCCGGGGACAGGTCGGAAAGATGACGCAAACAAATTATTATTACTCCAGTACTATTGGAGGAGAGGTGAAAGAGAAGGAGAGAGAGGAGAGAAGAGAAAAAAAAGAGAAAGTCGTTCCACTCCTCCTATTTATCTCGTGGGAGGATGGCCGAGCAGCAAGCGATGGATATTTCAGTTTTTTAACTTTTTCTTTTTCTATTTTAATTTTGACAGCGGAAAAGGGACAAAAGGAACCGGGAATGTAAGAGAGTACACCGGGAGTAGCCGGTGAGAGAGCACGAGTGATTTGCCGACGTGGGGAAAACGACACCATTGTAGCCCCGTCGTGTCTCTGTCTCTGACCCACCATTGGACTTTCCCCTGCCCGCACTCCGCAGGCACGCCCGCCATCAACTTGCATTATCCGTTGGTCTTCTTTCGTTTAAAACATGCTTGCCAATTCCTTCCCCACTATTATTAGTTGTGGTTGGGCAAGCTAATTAAATATTGAGAAATAATTTAAAACATGTCGATTATGACAGCTTCAATGACTTACACGGTTCGGATGATACAATTTTTTTTTGTCGAAAAATGACATTTATTAAGTGGAAGAAAGATAAAGTAGCTCAATAAAAAAAACAAACTAAAACCAAAACCCTAATTCTTATTTTCCAAACGCATAAAGTAGCTCTCACTTGCATGGTCGCGAACGTTTTGTGAGTTGCCATCAAAGCAGCAACACTAGAGAAAACGATCAAGTCGTCAATTCAACCAAGACATCGCAACACAAAAATTACAAACTTGAAACTAAAAGCACAGCTTAACCAGATTTAATCACCGAAAACGTCGAATCGAAAAATATTCACCATATCTAGATATTGTATATGAACCACCTACAAGAACACACGTAAATTACCCACACCTTGCTTTCAAGTTATTGTATATGAACCATTTAAGCTGTATACATACGATGATCAGTCTCACATTTCATGATTGTATAAATATATGCCTTTTCTAACACTTCCTCTAATTCATTTTCAGGAGAAATGTTGTTTTCTTTAATCTAATTAGTTATTCTTGATCATTGCAAAGTAACCCTTTCAAAGCAGGGAGCCTTGTTGGATTGGGGTCGGCTTTTAGTTGTCTTTGATCTTAATAATCAACAATGGATCTCCTATTAGCTAGTTTTCTCGAGACACCTGCTGCAAATTCGGGCAACGTCATGCGATCAGTTCTTGCTTACCATATTATCATACATAGAATATTCTTTATAGTGCATGCCACCATCTTGTTCACGTTCCATCCCAAAAGGCCTTTCTGTATCTCAAATCCAAATATTCATACCTAAAAGCTGGAAGGAAGGAATGAAACAATTTGGAAACAAAACAATTTATCAAAAGCATTCAAAACTCTCTCTCTTGTCCAGTTCGATGCCTTTTCTCCTACTTGTGACCTTATCTTACGTTCCATCTCTTATCTTATCTTGCGCTGACCATAAAGCATTAGCATATGGTGAACAACTTCATGCACATATAGTCCGATTGAGGTTTGAACGACATCCCATTTTGGTTCCCAAGCTGGTTACATTTTACTCAAGCTTTAATCTTCATGCCGATGCTCGTAGCGTTGTTGAGAATTCAAATATTTTGCATCCTTTACCTTGGAATATGCGCATTTCTTCATATATTAAAAATGAACTTTTGGATGAGGCTCTCTCTACCTATAAACAAATGGTTGATAAGGGGATTAGGCCAAATTGTTTCACTTACCTAAGCCTTGTGGTGAAAAATTGGATATAAGTTTTGGTAGGAGGTTCATGAGTCCATTGATGCTTGTTGTCTGTAGTGGAATTATTTGTACATGATTCATTGGTCTCCATGTATGGGAAATTCGGGCTTCTCGACGTTGTTGGCCGCTTATTTGACAATATGGCCATAAGGGATGCAATTTCTTGGAATGCAATAATCTCTGGTTATGCCTCCAAGGGCATGTGGACGGATGCATTTGAGCAATTTGGAAATATGCAGATTGAGGGAATTAGAGTTAATGTCTTACTTTGGAATACCAATGCTGAAGGATGGGTAATTTCGGAGGTGCACTTGAGTTGCTTTATCAAATGAGAATTGGTGGTATTTTATTGGACTTGGAAACATTGACAATTGGTTTGAGTGCTTGTTCACACATCAGAGCTATTAAGTCGGGGAATGAAATTCATGGTTTTATGTCGTATTTGTTGTGAAGCGTACAATAATGTTAACAATGCATCGATTACATTGTATTTCTGGTGCAAAAATCTTAGGAAAGCATATACTTAGTTTGAATTGATAGAAGATAGGAGTTTAATTACTTGGAATTCCATGCTTTCTGGTTATTCCCGCATAGATCGAGTAGAAGAAACTTCATTCTTATTTAGGGAGATGTTGTATCCAAGAATTAAACCTAACTATGTTACCATTGCCAGCATCATTCCCCTTATTAACACTTGAAGATAGTTGAAGATCAAAGAATTACAGAGAAAACAATGGAGGAGAAAGAAGATTATATTGATAGCTTTGAGAAAATATATACAACCGAACTCAAAAGAAATGATAGTTATATAAGCCCTTATATAGTCATATATCCCAATTATAATAATACCCTTCTAACTTTATTAAGAAACTTAACCACTAGAATAATGCCATGTGGCATTTTTGTTATATCAGTTATTACTCCCCCCACAAACTAAACTTGGAGTATCCAAGTGAAGTTTGAACTAGCTAGGCTTTTGAAACTGATCTGGAGTTGTGAGACCAAGGTGTTTGCAATGCTTCAAAAACATTGGACTATGCAATCTTTTTGTAAAGACATCTACAATCTGATCTTCAATGCATATATATTGAACAATTAAGTCTCCTTTTTGCACTTTTTCTCAAACAAAATGGTAATCTATGTCGAGATGCTAGATTTTTGAATGAAAGACATGATTTGAGCTTAAAGTTAAGGCATTCAAGTTATCACAATGAAGTAATAACGGAGTTGAAATCACCCGATGCATATCTTTAAACAGAGATCTAATCCAACGTAAATCCGGTGTAGAATGCGCTAAGGCTTTGTACTTAGCCTCTGTGGAACTTTGAGATACTGTGGACTACTTTTTAGACTGCCATAAGATTAGATTATCTCCCAAGTAAATCACAAATCCAGTTATTGATCTTCGAGTGTTGATATCAGCTGCCCAATCTGAGTCTGAGTAGGCAGTCAAATTGAAATCCAGGTTCTTTTTGTAATCCAGACCATAGTCCAATGTGCCCTTTAAGTATCTTAAAATTCTTTTGACCAAATGCACATGTAGGTCAGTTGGAGATGTCATAAACTGGCAGACCCTGTTCACAGCATGAGCAATGTCTGGCCTAGTGAAGGTTAGATATTGAAGAGCCCCCACTAACCTTCCGTAATGACTTGGATCTGAAAAAATAGTACCTTCTTGTTTAAGCAACTGTGTATGTGGTTTTGATGGTGTGGAGGTTGGTTTGCATGTCTCTATAGAAGCCTTTTTCTGTAGTTCTCTTGCATACTTTGATTGATTTATGAACGAAGAGCCATCTTCTTTATACTGAATGTGCAATCCCAGAAAGACTGACCGCTTTCCAATATCTTTAAGATCAAACACTCATTCGAGATCACTTATAACTTCTCAAATCTTTGTGGGATTAGAACCAGTGAGTATAATATCATCTACATAGAGTAGAAGTATAATAATATCACTTTAATCCACTTTAACAAATAAGCTAGTATTAGATATGGAAGCTTTAGAACCCAGCGAAGGAAAGTAACTAGTGAATTTTGAATTCCAAGCTCATAATGCTTGTTTCAACCCATAGAGAGATTTAATGAATTTACACACATATCCTGGACAAGTAGGATCCACAAACCGTTGAGGCTGCTTCATATAGACTTCCTCCTTAAGATCACCATGTAAAAAAGCATTCCTAATGTCTAGTTGTCTCATATTCCATCCATATTGTGCAATTAGAGCTAAGATAACTCTAACAGAAGTGGGTCTCACAATAGGACTAAAGGTCTCAGAATAATCCAAACCTTGTTCCTGAGTGAAACCTTGAGCTACTTAATGTCTTAGGTTCTTCAACTTCTGTAATATCAGCTAGAAAGGAAAAACCACCAAAGAATATGCCAAAGAGGTCACTAGAGCAAGAATCACTAGATGTAGGATCAACAAATTGGAGTGAACTTAACTCAAGTAAAGCAGCCAGATAAGCTACATAGTTCTTTCTTGAAATTGCACTTGTTTGAAGCCTTGTCTGAATACCATGTGGTCTCTATTGTTGAACAGGAGATTCAGAAAAATCAATAACAGAAGACATTTTAGAGAAAGGCAATATTACCTAGAGTTGTGCTGGTTCGAGGACAGGAAGCAAATGAGGTGTATCACTAGTTGGAGAAATAGTAGGATCATGATTTTCTGTTGATGAAACCCCAGAACTTTGAAACTGTGGTGTGTTACTGACATAAATACCATAATTAGAAAGTGATGTCCCAACCACTGATGTATCAGTCAATACATGATGTGTTGTAGTTGTATGATCATTCCCAGATGTAGAGCTTGTATGACTTGTTGGAATGGGAAATGGTATAATCATAGAAGTAGAAGTACATGGTGTCTTCACATATTGATCCCTTATCTGAGACAATTCCAATTTTGCAAGAAAAATTGACTCTTCAAAGACAACATGTCTAGATATAATACATTTCCTAGTTTGTGTATCATAACAAATAACTCCCTTATACCCCATTGCATACCCTAGGAAAATACACATCTTTGATCTTAACTGCAACTTATTAGTATTGTAGGGTCTTATCCAAGGAAACATTACTGATCCAAAAATTCTTAAAGACTGTAATTCAAGTAACTTGTTGTAGAAAAGTAAATATGGAGAGATGAAAGACAAGGTTTTACATGACATCTTATTGATCACAAAAACTGCATGAGCACATGTAAAATACCAAAACTCACTATTTAAACCAACAACATGTAAGAGAGTGAGTGCAGTGTCTACAATATGTATGTGCTTCCTCTTAGATATTCCATTCTATTGCAGAGTACAGGGACATGAGATAAATTGCATAATACCTTTTGTAGCCAAAAAAGATGTAAATCTATTGCTAGTATATACACCTCT